ATGGCAGAGAATCGTCCCGGTTTATGACTGACAATAGTTACCAATATAACCATCAACAGCACAATAAAGAAATGTTAATAATGCGTAAGAGAATTAAAGAACATTTGTCACCTGCACAGAATTTTCGAAAGCATACAATAGGCACCAGGCTAGAATCGGCACCGACATACAGTCGACACTGGCATAGCAGAGGCAAGGCCCACAATTAGCAATGGCACATTATGAAGAGAGCAAGAATTTGTTTAGCAACTAGCATAAAACCAAACTGATGCACTGAAACGGGCGTACGGAACCTGCGACGGACGGAACGAAATTGGCATTAAATCGATACCGGCATAGGATAGAAATTGGCTTCCGCCTCCTGAACGTAGAGAGCAGTAACATATTGCCAAACATTTCATTACCTACGTATGTTGGACTGGACTGGATGATTTAGTTTATGCAAAAAATGCGAGGGCTGTCTGTCAAATGAGAAAACATTTTTTGGAAAGAAACTATCTTGTATTCACTTATACGTGCGAAAAATCACGAAAACTCCCAAAACGTATAATAATAATGTGATCTCATATGGTAGTGGTCACATTTTAGAAGCCCACCAGCGGCCGAGCGGTAAAGTCGCTGAACACTGGTAGTTCGGTCCGAGGTTTGAATCTCGCGAACGGGATGGCTGAGTGGAGCTTTCATGGTATTCCCCATGTGTAACGTGTATATGAGCCAATTTCCCTTAGAAATACTTCCACGAAGGCATCTCTGCCCTCGGGCATATTGACCTCGAGGCTTTGCTATCACATAATAGCCCGTTATATTTATAAATCTCAAAATTAAAGCTGCATGAATTTGAACCTTCTTGAAAGGTTAAAATTCGATTAAATTTTTCATATTATTCTTTAGAATAAGCACGTGAGATCGAAACCGGGTTTGGTCTGCCGTGTCGATCGAATAGTGGAAGAGTAGCTGTCGATCGTCACAGTGAAGACTTTGTGCATTATTTCCACACGACTGTATATGCTGTGACTATCACGGCAGGAATTTAACAATTACTATATCCAAGTTATTTGTGTAGCAAATGGGATTCAATGCAGTTTACAAAAGCAAATTTATAAGTTCGTTCAAGCCGCAATCGAACGGTGTCCGGCATTCTAAAATCGTTAAATGATTTTCAAAAAATGGTAAATAAAATCTAAAAATCCCTAAATCGTTAAATGATTTTCAAAAAGTGGTAAATAAATCTAAAAATCTCTAAATAGTTAAATAATTTTCAAAAAAGTGGTAAATAAATCTAAAAATCCCTAAATCGTCAAATGATTTTCAAAAAGTGGTAAATAAATCTAAAAATCCCTAAATCGTTAAATGATTTTCAAAAAGTGGTAAATAAATCTAAAAATCCCTAAATCGTTAAATGATTTTCAAAAAGTGGTAAATAAATCTAAAAATCCCTAAATCGTTAAATGATTTTCAAAAAGTGGTAAATAAATCTAAAAATCCCTAAATCGTTAAATGATTTTCAAAAAGTGGTAAATAAATCTAAAAATCCCTAAATCGTTAAATGATTTTCAAAAAGTGGTAAATAAATCTAAAAATCCCTAAATCGTTAAGTGATTTTCAAAAAGTGGTAAATAAATCTAAAAATCCCTAAATCGTTAAATGATTTCAAAAAGTGGTAAATAAATCTAAAAATCCCTAAATCGTTAAATGATTTTCAAAAAGTAGTAAATAAATCTAAAAATCCCTAAATCGTTAATTGATTTTCGAAAAGTGGTAAATAAATCTAAAAATCCCTAAATCCTTAAATGATTTTCAAAATGTGGTAAATATGTACCTTGTTACTTATCATAAAGGCTCAAAAAATTTTATATAAGATCTCCGTCCATCACTTCATAAAATGTTTTAAAATATTTGTAAGAACAGTGTGACTTCATACGGTAGTTCCTCTGTGTTTATAAATTTCAGAAACAAAGCTACTTGAAATTGGGTTTATTTGAATAAGCAAAATTTTGGACAATCCTGAGGGTTTTTTTGGGGGGGGGCGGAGTCTAGATATCTGACCAGCATTTCATTTGATTCATGTCGCAATTTGTGAGATAACCGGCCAAGTGTGGCAACCTCTCATTCGGCTTTTATCCGAGTTCTGGCTCTGGAAAAGCGCGCCTTTTACGACGGGTCGTAAAAGGCGGTCGTGAAGGAGTTTACGAGGCGGTTGATGGCGGCGATCGCACGCCAAGCCTGATGAAGAGCTTTTCACACGAGTTTTCATTTTGTGTACTTTCCTTTTAATGAGGCACCGCTGCCCCTTGTTATCTGCAGCTCCCTGCCTGCCCCCTTGTTCCTCCGCACTGGGTGAGTTCTACATCCAGATTAGCCAGCGAGATCAAATCTTGGCTCCAAATTGAGGAGGATTCCAGAATGAGTGCGAATAAGGTAGTTCTTCAGTTGAAAATGAAAGTCATCTTTTTGCCCTTTTTTTAACCCTCCCGCCGACTCTGTTGCGTTCTCTTTATTTTTCAACTTTTTTGGCAGTTATTTTTTTGTTTATTTTTCCATGCTTATGTATTTGTATTTTTCAGCGTAATTTTTTATTTTTTTCCCCTTTCCAAGCAAGCATGCATAATCAAGAGAAAGTGGAGTGCGTAAGGATGTGTGTTTTAGTCATAAAACGGAGAAGACAGGAATGAGAGTTTTGCAAGGGGCCCCGGTGCCCCACAATGACTTGACCATAAAATGATCTTTCACAGATAAGACGCATATGAAAACGGGTGATGTTTTCGATTTTTTTCCCTTCACTGTTTCTGACTTCCTTCTTTAGAGTAAGAGGCAACTTAAATCGAAGGAAGTAAGGAGTTCAGCAAACATTCTGTTTCACTGCTTTGTTTGTCCCTTTATCGAAGCCGATATGAAGTAAATAAAAGAGCGTGAATCTTAAATTGAAAATAAAATAAAATACAATAAATTCTTCCATTACGCTTTCATTGCTTTTGAATACAGTTGTCATCCTACCTCATACGGATAGAGAAAGAATGTCTTACTTTTTCTCACCAGTTTGAATAGAAAGCAGCAAAAATTTAGCACAGTCATATTTAGCATCTCCCTGCAATGCGTTATAGAATCTAGCATTAAATAGTAAAATAAATTAATTTTAAAGCATTTTGTTGAGTAACTTCATATGTTAGTTAAATCTCTAGTAACTAAGTAAAAACTGCATTGCAGGTACTTAGATATCATCGATAATATTCAGTTATGCGTAAATAAAAACTCAAAGCACTATATGCTGATAGAATCTGATTAAAACGAGTATGGGCTACTGTTAGTTAAAGTCAAATATTTCAGCGTAAGTTCAGTATTTATGCTCAAAGAAAAGATTGCTTATAAAGGCAACTGTTTCAAAGAAAATAATTTGAAGCACTCACTATTTTAAGTTAGTGACTTTCGACAGAAAGCATAATTGCAACAACTTCTGGGACATTATAAACTCAAAAATCTACTGACCCAAATTCCCGAATTTCTAGACCTAATAAGATTAACCAAGAGTTGTAAACTAAAAAAAAAACTGTTTTGTGAGATGAAGAAGATTTTTGCTTTTATTAAACAAGTAGCTTCTGCACTGGAGAAAACTGCGAGCAGTAGTGATTTTAGAAATTTTTGAACGTACGAAATCGCAAAAATTATTTTATGTTATTGCTATCTCTTCTGGTCTGCCAGCACGAAATTATTAATGACTATTGTACTTCGTGCATCAGATATCACTGACTTTCCCCATTGTAATGGAGAATCAACTCGATTTCATAGACCCGGTACAAGCAATGCTGCAGCACTGGGCTCTGGTCTTAGACTTTATAATTAGTAATTTAAATATAGTGTCAGAAAGCCATTAATTATCATTTCTTATAATTAATTCTGTGTCCATTTGGAGAATCCCAGGTTGAATCATAAACCTTAGACGAATGTAATTTGCTTTTACGCTAGCACATTTTATTGGAAATGAAACTTTGTTCAGCACACCTTCCAGATTTTGATAAACAGATTTTGTACTGTTCTTTCTTACCACCAAATGTACCTTACCATCGACCCCGGAAACCGACGTAGATAAGCTACTGGCTAGAATCTGTACCTAGGCAGTCTCGGCCACGTGGTACACAAATAACGAACCTAGTGGTTGTAAAGGCCCCGGAAAGATCGCTTATCGACCAGTCCGTGGGTCTGGTACGTCCTGGAGCTTAAGGTTCTAGTAGCCTGTTGTAGAGTCCCGGGTTAATTGCCTGTGGGTCGCGCCCCAGGTTTTCTGGTTAATGTCTTTGGTCAACAGACAGCTCGTGTGACTGGCAGGCGGCAAATTTGACGACCAGTGTCGCCAAATGGCGATGGCGTCAATCCTCACCAAGGTGCGAGGACAGGGGTTGAACCCCTGGACCTGATTCTGCGGTTGGATTGGAAGCATAGTGTCTGCTTAGATGCTGAACGGAGCGTGATGCCCAAAACAAACTTACCACCAATTGTATAAAAGGACTATCTTCTCGACAGCTTCCATGTGTGTTAACCGTAAACAAGAGTGTTACAAACTTCGGAGTTACACTTGCTATTCGAACTAAGGCCCACTGGCATGATAGTCGGTTCCTTTTAACACTTTTAATCAAAGGTAGTATTTAGTTTAAATGCTGTCATATTTACTTAAAAATCAATAACTGCTTGCTTAAAAATCATTAATCTTATTATTATTAGTTATAATAAATCATTACAAATAAACTTAAAATTCATTTGCGATGCCTTAACAGTGCCTTCGGTTGAATCAAGTTCATTTTTAAAATATAAGTATAATTGACTGCAAATGAAATTATACGGCTATGGAATTTGAAACTACATTTGGCAATTTGTACTTGATTTCGTTTTACAGATCAAAAAATTTTGACGTTCCACACTTTGCGTCCATATCCGTAGTTGTGGGAATAATATAAGAACAACATACTCTTATATAATTTCCATTTCTTACGTAAGAGTAACTGCCTCACCCTTTTCAATGTTTATCTGCCGCTCCTGTTGCCTGGCGTTGTCCGCAGCCACTTTCAGCAGGCCCTGGATGTTTCTGAGTAGTGTTTCTATTGATGATACAACTTGTCCAGTTGGGGATCCTCCGTCCACTGCCAGGTGACTGAAGGGGAACATTTGACTAGGGGGAAGCCGCTCTCCATTTGCTGTGCTGCTAACGTCAGGGTGATCGCTGAAATCTGAGATTCATAACATAGAATATTCAGCTGAGAATGAGGAAAAACATATAAAGGATATCGCGAAATATACTACGCAGTACATACAAAAATAAAAGACTGGTATTTTATTTTAATAAACAGATGCATTTAAATTACATTATTAAGAGATCAACAATATATATTTCCTCCCTACTATAAACAAAGTATTCAAATATTAAAATATTTAAAAGAAAATAGCAGTAAATATTCTAAAAAATAAATCGTAAATTTGTACGTGAATTACGTTTTTTTTCCTCGTCTGAAAGCGTGTATTATTCTTTCTACCGAGATAGGAAAATAGCATCCGCTTTCATTAAGCCAAATGTGCACCTTGTTAAAATGATAAAACTTTCCGTATTCTATACAACAACAGCTCTTTCTTTTATTTTCGAAACAAGCTGTTGCCAATTTATGGAACATAAAGTGAGTATATTCCATCATTTGTCCTTGAAATGGTACTGATGTGTTTTCTGCAATTAATCGTTTGAGCGGTCGCAATCGAGTCCTGGGTTATGTCTGCGAAAACATATTGTTATAAAATGCCCATTTTTGGTAAGATAGCTTCCAGAAAAGGCTAAGAAAGGCAAGGTTGCCAGATTTGGTGCGAAGTCTCTCATTTGGCGACAAAATTGGTGATATGCCATAGACGGAGTGAGAACATTCTAGAACGAATTCTTACCAAGTTTCCCCGAGAATGTTCTCGAAGGCAGGTCAAAAGCTATACATACCCTACCCGTACGCGGCGGTGTAGAGTATCTCGCGAGTATGTTGAGTTCAGTAGTAGAGTCTTGAGTTCAGACATTAGCTTGAGAGCGACCGAACCGAGTCGGGAGCTGTATTTTAGTGCTTTGCAGTGAAGCTGTCTTCAGCGTTGTTGCCTGAAGTCTGTGTTGCTGATTGTTTCAGCGGGTTTATCGTAGTGTTCGACGACTGTAACTGTGTTATACGACGATTGTATAATACTGACGAATAAATTATGTTTTGATTCTTCATCAAATGTTGTCATCAATCACTCCAAATCCACAAACCCGTAAAAAGCAATAATATGCAGACTGTGTGCTATGGGTGCAAACTCTAGCAAAATTGTTCTTGAAGTTGCAAAGCTTTACGAAAAATGTGTCGCAGGTTTATCATTCAGTCCTCATTGTTTCCTACGTTATTATGATTTTAAAAATTATGATAATTTTGCTTACATAATTATTCGGCCATCGCTTTGATGGAGACAAAATACTTCAATGTCTTTAATGTCTTAAATCAATAGGTTAGAATAGATCTGCAGAATTTGTTGATTATATACTACTTGACTTCGATCAGGAATAAAACAAAATGTGTTTCGAGTACAACTCTCTCGCTTTACCCCGAGAATCAACTTTTTTTTGTCATGCAATTATTTTTTTTAATTAATGTTAACTAACATAAAAATAGTGCTATATTTTAAAATATTCTTATAAAACTGCTTTTGATAACAGTTTTCATAAATACAAATACATCTTATTAAGTTATTTCCAAATAAAGGTCTATTTCCATTGAATTCTCTACAGGCGATATCAGAGGTATTCTTGTTACTAAGGTTATTATCAGATAAAATATACTACAACGATATCCATATTAATTAATCTTCCTGCATTATTGGTGTTCAGCAAGAAATTTGATCTCCCATCTAATAATAAAATATTTTATTACAATATGACTCCAGAAACTAATTCATCATCATCATTCATTAGCTAATTATGTCATTAAAAATACAGCACTTCGAATTTACACGAAGCATTTACTTCCTAGTGTAATTTTTGCTCGTTACGAAAACAGTTGCAATAACAGTTTAGTGTCTGATGAATGAAGAAATAACTGTACATTGCAATTTTAACTAAAATTTTAATTCTAATTACTGTGAATATATTCTTAAAGTGCTATCTATATATGTTACTGTAAATATCAATTGATTGGCAGCAGCTTGTAAAGTCTGTCCAAGAATAAGTTTATCAAATGGTACCTAATAAATTAAGAATTTAACTGTAATTAAAAAAAAATTTTAGTTTTGTAATAGACTTTAATAAATATATTATTAAAAATAAGAAATTATGCAATTTTCGAGAAAATTTCTATGAAAGTGATAGTATCAAACCATATTTTGTGCATTCAACAGAAAACAAACAACTACCTCTGTTAAATTCAAATTTATCATTAATGAGAAGATTTCATAAAACTTATTAGGGGATTGACTGTATAAATATTCATATATCACACTCTATTTTATTCGAGACCTTGGTCTCTGTCGTCGTCGTCATCATCACTGTAATCGTCGTCCGCTCCATCGTTATAGGCACCTTCACTTCCACTGCCTTCCCCTCCGTGCAGTCCGACGCCTCCTCCTCCTACGCCGCCACCGCCACCTCCTCCACCACCACCGCGAGTGCTGTTTTGGGAGAGGTTAAGCACCGGACTGTGAACGCTGCCACCGGTACCTGAAAAAGAAACAATGTTTAAGAAAAACAAAAATGTTTTAACGTAAGTAAGTTTTTTTTTTAAATACTTATTAGCCCAAAGGAGCTTTTAATTTTGTTTTGCATTTTGCCTTGGTTCACTATAATTGTCGGTTCACTTTTATAATTGTTGCCACCAAATATTATCGCCCCGTCTTATATTTAAAGAAATTAAATAATGAAGAATCTGCATGAATGCATGTATGTTTCTCGCACTGTAATAAAACAACGGTACCTAGAGTCATCCAATTATGAATAATGTAATCTTCCACTGAATATGGGCATCTAGAAGCCTGAATTTGGAATTTTGAAATTTGTTTTATTATCGATTTCATATTTTATAACACTTTAATGAATTTTTGTATTAACAAACTCAACGATTTCAAAGCACGCAATGACAGCAGTGTACGGAAAAAGAAAATTATCTCCAGCACGCGAGACTCTGCATCGGAAATTCTAAAGATAGGGGTTGGACCCTAAAGATAGGGGGGAGATAGGGGTTGGATAGGGGTTGGAAAGATTCTAAATCAGGGGTTGGACAAAAATATGGAAACACCTTTAAAAAAACATGTTTCTTTGCTTAATATGGTGTAGGAAACCAGTTGGCATCCAAAACAGCTTGCAGTCTTCTCGGAATGGATAAATACAGTTCCTGTATGTTTCCCAAGGGAATATTATACCATTCTTCCTGCAAAACGGTGGCAAGTTCAGATAACGATGTTGGCGATGGATAACGAGAACTCACTTTCCGTTCCAATGTAGACCACAAAGGTTCGATAATATTCAGGTCTGGTGACTGTGTTGGCCAGGGGAGGTGGGACAACTCATCCTCGTGCTCAGAAAACCAGTCCTGGACAATGTGAGCTGTGTGAACAGGGGCTTTGTCGTCTTGGAAGACACCATCACCATCGGGGAACAAAGTTTGTACCATGGGATGAACTTGATCGGCCAAAATGTTCACATAAGTCTTGGCAGTCATGTGGCCCTGACACAGTTATCATGGGGCTAGCAGAGAACCACGATATGGTTGCCCAAACCATAACAGAACCCCCGCCATGTTTTACTCTTGGCAACAAGCAGTCTGTATTATAGGCTTGAGATGGCGTTCTCCAGACTTAAACTCGGCCAGAAGTGGCTCGTCAGACCATATTACTCGCTTCCACTGCTCTATAGTCTAGGCTTTATGACTTAAACACCACCTTTTCCTGTTACGGGCATTAGCATCACTGATGAGTGGCTTCTCAATTGCAGCACGGCCAGCAATTCCCTGTTTATGGAGCTCCCTTCTAATTGTTTTGGTACTCACAGGGTTCGGTAACACAACATTCATTTCAGCAGTAACTTTTGCAGCTGTGGTCTTCTTATTTCTCGTCACAATTGCCCTTAATGATCGTCTGTTTACGATCACTCAGGACACACTTTCGTCCGCGCTGTGATTTAGCAGATGATGTTTTTCCGCTTTTCAAATATGCGGAATAAATCTTCGATACAGTACCTCTTGAAACACTAAACACCTCGGCTACCTTGCTTACGGAAGCACCTACCATACGTGCTCCAACAATTTGCCCACGTTCGAAGTCTGTTAACTCTGACATAATGCAATGACAACCTCACATAACAGTATTCCGACTACAATATTCCGTCAGTAGTCATAAACGCCAGCGCCACCTACATATTTCATTAAAATCAATCTTTCTTTTCAAACATGCATTTCACAAGGTGTTTCCATATTTTTGTCCATCCACTGTATGCCCATGCGATATTGCTGTTGAATTGCGTTTTATGGTTTAAGTGCGAAGAATATGATATTTAATAAATAAAGGTAGCACACAAAATGTTAAAAAAATCCCCTTGAGTGTTATGTAAAATCTGAAAGCTTTCGGATTTTTTTAATGTCTGAAGCAAGCAATAAATAATAACTTAAATTTTCAGATTGCTGAAGCTGCGTACATTTGGATGCAATATCGAGCAATACAACGAAATTAAAGAAATGCATAATTCGCCATCTTACCGTATTACTTAATAGTTGTTAAAAATATCTCTTCTGAAGATAACTTCATTTATTCTTGTTATGATACTTTACATGAATAAAGTGAATAAAAGAAAATGATGTCAATATTAAGATCTTAAACAGTTGTTTGAATCCCAACAACAATCAGATCTGCGATATTTCTCGAAATTTTTAGTCCAAAGGGATTTGAATCCCGAAGGACTATTAGTTTCGTTTTGGCATTTTGCGTCGGACTCATAAATGTCGGTTCACTTTTCAAACTGTTGCCACAAAATGTTAGAGTCCTGCATTATATTTGAAGAAATTAAATAATGAAAAATCTGCATGAATATGTATGTATGTTTCTCGCATTGTGAATAAAACAACGGTACCATAGAGAACATCGAATTTTGAATAACGTAGTCCTCCACTCGAATATGAGCATTGTGGAAGACCCAAATTTGGAAATTTGAAATTTGTTTTATGATTGATTTCATATTTTGTAAACCGAACTTTAAACGAATTTTTTGATTAACAAACTCAAGGATTTCAAAGCGAGCAATGGCAACGTTGTGCAGAAAAAACATTTTTATCTCCAGCGCGTAAGATATGCTCGTTTTAAAACAATTTTGCGATATTGCTGTTGCACTGGATCTTATGGTTTAAGTGCGAGGAACATGATATTTAATAAAGAAAGGTTACACACAAAATGTTAAAAAACGCCCCTTTGGACGTAATTTAAAATCTGAAACATTTCAGATTTTTTTTTTTTTTTTTTCATTGAGATTTTTCTTGATAAATCTTAAGTTGGTCCGTGCAGGTAAGGGCATCAAAAAGAGAAAGAAATATTGATTATTTTACTCAAAGATGACTTACTTTATCTTTATTTAAAACTTAAAAACAAAATTTGCCTGAAAGCTTTAAATATGGATGCATCCTTTTATATTCTTATAAATGTAGCCAACTATCGATGTTTGTTTTTGAACTAGATGATGTGTCTTTGAACTAGACGATGTATGTCTTTGCACGTCTTGCGCTTAGTGCATTGGATCTCCTTAAAAGGGGACTCATACACCTTAAACCCCTCATGATTTTCGAATATGTGACTGTTGGAAGAATTGGGATATTTTATTTATTTTAAAAGCAATTACTTCCAACTTTTTACAGCTGACTGCATAATATAGCTGCTTTGGAAACTAGTAACCATAAAGTTTGTGTTGTCACAAATATTTCTGTAATTTAATTTTCTTTGTGACAAAATATTTCCCCATGTTTCCACCTTGCGTGCATGATATTTTAAAAATGGCTAATGGTACATACTTGAAATTGGATGGAATTCTTTATATGGGCACTATTTTCTAACTGAACCAACAATCTGATGAATATTTCAATATTGAAATATTTTATGGACGAAAACATTACAAATTTTGTTAATAAAATACATTTTATAAACTCAACTCAAAATAAAATAAAAATTTACCATGAAATTTTTAGAATTTTAGGTTCACAGTAGTTTCCAAATGTTATAAAAGCTATATATTAATATGGAATTAAATTATGAAACATAATGTTTTAAACTGTGCGCGCAAGTTGGAAACATGACGAATAATGTTGTCACAAAGCGGATTAAATTATAAAAATATCTGTGGCAACACAAACTTTCTGATGACTATTTCAGAAAGCAGCTATATTATGTAGTCAGCTGTAAAACGTTGGTAATTGCTTTTAAAATAAGTAAGTTATCCCAATTCTTGCAACAGTCACCTATTCGAACATCTTATGGGTTTTAAGGTGTATGAGTCCCCTTAATAATGCTAACATCTCACATCAAAAAATAATCTTCCTTGTGTATTTTAGCTAATTTAATAAAAAAAAAATCAAACATATTCGTAAAACTTGAATCTGCAATGTCCACGAAACATTTGTCCATCTTGATAGTCTGTATAGTTATAAAATTTACGAGATTTCTTAGAATAACTGTTTTAAAATTAAAAATAAAAAATTCAACATTGCTTGATTGACAGTAACTATACCATACCAATTAGATATTTCTGTACTGGGTAAGTTTGCAGGAGCAATCTTTCTTGAAAATTTTATTTCGGAATTGACTCTATATAATGTATTATATAAAATAACTATGTATTCGTTTCCGTCAGTTTACATATAGTGATTTTTGCATTCGTTGTTAAACTTTAAAATACGGTGCACTATTTACTTTTAAAATCTTAATTATAGTTTATATAAGCGCTCGGCAGTCTACAGTGTAAAACGGTATACAGTTCATATCAATCGACGTAAAACGTACTATGAACTTAAATTTTATTGCAAAAGGCTAGGTGTAAGAACAAAATTTAAAAAAATACGGAGGCTTTCAGATTTTATATTACGCCTATTTTGTATGTTACATTTATAAGTTATTTCTCCCACTTTCCTAGCGTGCCTTCGTGGTGTAGTGGTTCTGCACGCTGGGCCGGTATTCCAAAGGTCCGTGGTTCGATTCCCGGCGAAGGCGGTCACTAATTTTTCATTTTTTCGGCCTCCAAAAAAGTCCTAATGTCTCTACAGTGACGCCCGAACTAAAAGTTGTTGGATGACGATTCTCCATACCCAGGGTTTGGCGATTGGGTCCCCTAAAAACCACAGTCGCCCTTTAAAAAAGGGAGTATATAAGGTATTTCTCCCACTTTCCTAGCGTGCCTTCGTGGTGTAGTGGTTCTGCACGCTGGGCCGGTATTCGAAAGGTCCGTGGTTCGATTCCCGGCGAAGGAGGTTGCTAATTTTTCATCTTTTCGACCTCCAAAAAGGTCCTAAAATCTCTACACCTTATTAAATATCATGTTCTTATTACTTAAACCATACAAAAATTTAGTTCAACAGCAGTATCACGAAATATTTAAAAAGAGCATATCTTTACAATTTCTGACAGACAATCTCGCAAGCTGGAGATCAAAATGTTTTTTCCGGACAGTGTTGCCACTGCTCGCTTTGAAATCCTTGCGTTTCTTAATAAAAAATTCGTTAAAGTTCAACAAAATGTGAAACAAATAATAAAACAAATTTGAAATACAAAATTTTGGCTTCCAGGTTCCCATGTGCGGGTGGAGGACTACGTTATTCAAAATTTGATAGTCTCTAGGTACCGATGTTTTATCACAAAGCGAGAAGCATACATACATTCATGCAGATTCTTCGTTATTTAATTTTTTTAAATATAACGTAGGGTTCTAATATTTGGTGGCATCAATTTGAAAAGTGATACGCCGTTTTATAGTGGACGGCGCAAAATGTCAAAACGAAATCAATAGCCCTTTTGGGCAAATTGCCCGTTAGGGCTAACAAGTAAGAACTTCAAGAATATCTGAACATGAATATTCTTCAATTTGGGAATGAGAAAGAAAGAAAGCACTTGATCTAAATGCATAAACGGAAACTTGTAAATACTGGAAGATTGTTTGGAAAATATTTAATTGTTTATAACATGCTTTTATTAATTTCCATTTAAAGTCATTGCAGCTGAAAGAAAATTACACTTTTAAATTATTAAGTGCTATACCATTGAAGTAGCACATACCATTAACGTAATTATCCTTCGCCCTGGATACGTCATAATACATTCTGTCCTTTGCTTCTGAAGCGTCCACACGATCGTCCCTCAATCTGAAAATAAGAAAAGAACCAAATTATTTATGTGAGATTAAATTTAAATTTTAAGTCAAGAAGAATTTGAAGTTTAAAACAGTCTCTCTTGGATCTATAAATAACAGCACATGCAATTTTTCTCAAATACTGTTGTTCTTCATGGATTCGTTTAAAAATTAATGTTAGGTCATTAAGTCAATTTTCCTAGTTTTTTGTTATCTTTTATTTACTGCTAAATTTGAATAACTTTAAAGTTTAAGTTTAAAGAAGTGATGTTTAAGTCATTTTCTGATGACTTTATAACCGATGGTAGATGCATTTTTTTCCAAATGTTATTTTTCATGGATTTCTAAAAGAATGGGCATGAGTAAATTAACTTTTTTAATTCTCTGTTGCTTTTACTTGCCATCTATGTAAATAACTCACTCAAGAAGAAAACGAAGTTTAAAAGAGTTTCTCATGTGTATATATAACAAATGACAGATGCATTGTTTTTCTACTTATTATTTCTTAAAGCTCTGTTCAATGTACCAAAGATAATTCAGTTAACTCTTATAATTCTCTATTATTTTTATATTATTGCTCTATTTTATTAATTCTCTATTATTTTTATATTAATTCTCTATTATTATTTATTCTATTATTTCTATTATTTTTATATTTTATTAATTCTCTATATTATTTTTTATTATTATTTTTATACTAATTCTAAATCGAAAGTACGGTTGTGCACAATCAAAGTGGTATGGTATGCTCTGGTATATTTAATCATGGCAAAGCAGTCGAGGGCTATCGGCCTATGAGGAGGGATACCTTCGTGAAGGACTTCTAAAGGAAATACACGTTATATGCGTGGAAAACCACGAGAACTCTCAAGTACCCAGTCTGTTCTCCAGGATTCTAACCCCGGACCGAACTACCAGCGTTGAACGACTTCACCGCTCGGCCGATGTTGGGCCTCTTTCCCTTTTTTCTATTTTCCATATAAAATTATGAAATTATGTCTGTAGAGAATTTTGCAAAAGTTGTAGAGACATTAAGTATGTTTTTGAAGCAGGATGGATGAAAAATTAGCAACGCTAGGAAGGCAGGAGATATACCTTATATGCTCCCCCTTTTAAAGGGCGATTGAGATTTTTAGGGGACCCAGTCGCCAAATCGTGGGTGTGGAGAATCCTCATCCAACACCCTCTTAGTTCAGGCGCCACTGTAGAGACATAAGGTATATTTTTGAAGCAGGAGAGATGAAAAATTAAAAACGTCTTCGCCGGGAATCGAACCACGGAATACCGGCCCAGTGTGCAAAACCACTACAACACGAAGGCACGATAGGAAGACGGGAGATATACGTTATGAAGCAACAAAGTATATTCAGAGGTAATCAAGAGCATAATTCTACAAAACCTATTTCGATATTTTTTATGGTTAGTATAATTAACAGTTCGATGCCTGTAAATAAAGCATTTTTTAACTATAAAATTAAATTACTAAAATAGATCTAGAATTTGACATGTTTTTTGAAGCTGATCTCTTAGCAGTTCGTATACATAAATCTTTTTTCTGGTAGTTTTATTGAACTATAAGCAAAGATCCTTTATTTAAAGCGACGGCAATCATATTTATAAGATCGATTACTGTAGAAAGTGGTCAACTTTTAATGGCTATTTCGGAACTATTATGAAAACAATTTGCGACATAATAACACTGATGATAACAGTGGCGTAGCGCGACAGAGGCAGCAAAATTACACAATTAATAATGACAATAATATCTTTCCCTTTCTTTAAGGGAGTGTAGCCATCTCGTTTGCTCTAGCGACTGACAACACGGACTGTATTTACCAGTTGTCAAGGGTGTCCGCCGATAACATCGCGGACGAAAACGTCGCGGACAAAACATCGCAAAGAGAAAACATCGTGGTACAAAACATCGTCGTCGAAAATAAAGCGGTTCAAAAACTTCGCAGTTTAAAAACGTCGTCGTCGAAAATATCGTGGTAAAAAATAAAATATCTACAAATCATCGCATGACGATAACATCGCAGACGTGGCTTTTTTCAGGTTTTTAAATAATTGTAAATGGATATTCCCATAATGATTGTGAGCGCAAGGTGTAAAAGAAGGATAATTTTTACTTTCACATTTTTTTATTAACTAATAAATTTTGTGAAAAGTAGAAGGAAAACTTAAGTATAGAAATTAAATGAAACTTATAGATTACACTTTTCATGAAAAATTACCAGAAAAATGTTATAAAAAATTGCTAAGTTAATTATGAGGTTATTTTCTTCACTTTTGTTGATCTGATACTCTTATAGTGAAGATTATAGGTTCTTGTTTGTTTAAATTTCTTGTTTCATTTTTTATAAATTTATTAGGTACTAAAAATATGAAGAAAAAATTATCTTTCTTTCCATCTTGCACTCACAAATCATTATGCTAATATCCATTCACAGTTATTAAAGCCGGAAAAACGCATGTCTGCCATGTTATCGTCATGCTATGATTTGTAGGTACTTTTACCAAGATATTTTCGACGACGATGTTTTCAAACTGCGAAATTTTTGAACCGCTTCGTTTTCAACGACGATATTTTATACTAGGATGTTTTCTCTTTGCTTTATATTCTCCCACGATATTTTGTAGCACGACGTTTTCGCCTTGAGTTGTTTTCTCCGCGACGTTTTCGTCTGCGATGTTTTCGGCTGTAACCGTTGTCAAGCGATAATTCCAGTGTTTTATTTTGTGCTCGGATTGTTCACAACGAATATTCAGCGAGAATTAATTCTTTCGTATAAAGAATAAATTCCAGATAGTTCAAATAGTCTAGTCACAGTTCGTATGTCTTTATAAATCACGTTTGTTTTGTGTGTGTGTGCTAAGGATTCTTGCAAAATACAGCGTGGTGTCACTGTGAGTCTAGCCCATTACTTTAAAAGTCCGATTGAGTATCTTTACCATTACACCAAAAGGGCTCAAGAGGGGCCTGCCTTGTTTTCTTATATCTTAATACATTTTTAAGATGTATGGTAGCATATATAAGGTAGGAAAAGTTTTCGAAGAGAATTTAAACAAAAATAGTAACAAAAAATGTCTAAGGCAACAAAAACAAAGACGTTATATCCTAAAACAAAAGAGCTCCACATCCTCCATCCCTCTGGAAGGTATTCTTGACTGTTCAGAACTTTAAGTAGAACAAATCAGACAGCGTTATCAGCGAAGCAATCCCTGCTCGTCTTCCTCTGACAAAAGAAAGAGAGTGGAAAAGTCCCAAATCCTGAGTGAAGAGATAGAACAAAATGTTCCGGCCATCATCCCATTTGTTCGGTCGAACTGTTCGTTCTTCCTTCATTTGCATACGCGTTTAATGAAACAGCCACTGCGCGGCGGCACACTCGCTGGTACTTCACCCCCTCCTTGCTTCAGAAGGCCCGGTGATTAATGAAAATCTTTGCAAATGTAATTTTAAGCGCCTATTTTTCGCGCCTATTTTCACTTTTCCTTCTGCCTTTTGAGAAAGAATTAGAAGCAAAGTGGTTTGGGAGATTTCAGTTTCTATCAAGGGTATTACCCTAGGCTAGTTTGACTGCCACTATTTGAAATGGTGTAATTACTCCAAGTGATTACCCTGGAGTCAAAGTCAAACTTCTAAGTAGCGTTTGTGAACTGAGAAATGATAAAAAAAACATTTACAAATACTGAACAAAATCAAATTTTACTGGTTCAGAACATTAAATCACCGACAGCCCACATGAAATCGACAAATTGATTGTACGGTCAACTTCCTAATTACCCGTAATGCATTTACCAAGCCCTGTATAAAAGACGTTAAGCTTGTTTATTGCGGACAGATGCGAAAATTATCATCGCAAATCATTATCTTAAAACGAAATTATCAACAAAAGATATAAAAAAAGAAACGTAAATGTGGAGCAGCAATAAGGTATGATGTCATAGCATTTGGAAGTTGTTTCTATTCATAACAATACGCAATTTAATTATGCGTACAGGTAATCCTCAGTATATGAAAGGGAAATAAAAAATATGTAAAAATGTAGGAAGTGTAAAAATTTAATGTATGAATGTAATGTATGAAATGTAATATATGAATGTATAAGTGTAAAAGAAATGTTAAAAATGTATAAATGTAAAAAAAAATATAAAAACGTATAAATGTAAAAAACAATTACAAAAACATATAAATGTAAAAAAAAATTAAAATATATAAATGTATAGTCTAATGTATGAATGTATAAATGTGAAATTTGTATAAGTGTAAAAGAAGTGTAAAAAATGTATAAACGTAAAAAAGCTATAAAAATATATAAATGTACAATGTAATACATAAAAAGTGTAAATATGAATTTATATTGTTTTTTTACATATAAATATGAATTTAAATTGTTTTTTACATATAAATAGCGAATTTGAAGTAGTGGCAGGTGATATAAAAAGTGTAAAAAATATGAATTTATATTGTTTTTTTTTTCACATAAATATAAATTTATATTGTTTTGTTTTACATATAAATAGCGAATTTGAAGTAGTGGCAGGTGATATTGCTTCGAATTACCGCATATATCAAGGGTCAGCTGGAAGTATTTCAGATCATTATTTAAGGAATTACAGCGCATAGCCACTTTTTTAATGCAATGCACATGTCTACAAAATGGAACGTGTATAAAAGAACAGATTTGTTCAGAAATGTTGAAAACGTACATCTGATTTAAAATGCTCTTGTTTGACCTGCAGCACCATAATTAGAAACGTACTTCAACGCAGAAAGAAAAAAGAAAAAAAGGAAGAGATGTGATCTCTGACTTATACCACCCGACTCCTGATCGTCTGCTTTCCACCGGGGGTTTTCGATTGATAAGCGGACATAGATAAGGGGCGTGAGAAGCTTTTGTTTCGAGCGTCCTTTCTACCGTTTGAAATCCAATTTAACCGTTTGTCTTTTTCAAAAGCGCCCAACAATGGAGTCGGTAATTCAGACGTCAATCCAGGCAGAAGGTTTCTTTTTAAA